CAGTGTGCGGCTGCCTTGCTTGTTCTGTGCCTCAATTTGCAAACTACACTACCTGTGGGACACCTAACCCGTGGACTCTGTCGCTGTAATTTGAGTGACCTATGGTAAACTTAACTAGGTGCTGACTCTAATTGCAGCTGCCATTCCAGATGTAGTTTCATTGCTTGCGCAAATTAATAACCCTCCTGGTATCTGGTGTGCAGCTATTGGCTTAGCCAATATCCTTTCTCAATTCCAGCTTTAAAGGACCACCAGAAGCAGTTTGCCTTCAGCTAGCAAGGGTAACAATACATTTTTATAACCCCCCCCCCCCAGGATTATGTGAACACTCCAGGATTATGCTGTAATTTAGTCTGCAGAGACCTTAATTGCATTTCTCTTCCACAAAAGGCCACAGTGGTCCATTGTATTGATGAAATTAAGCTGATTAGACCTGGTAAAGAAGAAGTTTCAATGACTTTAGATTTATTGGCACAATGTCTGCATGCCAGGTGGTAGGAAATTAACCCAAGCTAAATTCAGCCACCTTCTGAGTTAGTGAAATTTCTAGGGGGCAGTGCTGTGGGACATGTTGAAATATCTCTACTAAAGTAAAAGGTAAGTTATTGCACCTGGCCCCTCCCACACCTGAAAAGGAGGCATAATGTCTGTCGGGCCTCTTTGGATTTTGGAGGCAAAATCTCACTTATTTGGGTATGCTACTCTGGCCGGTAGATCGAGTAACTCAAAAAACTGCCAGCTTTGAGTGGAGCCCAGAATAAGAGACAGATCTCCAACAGGCACAGGCTGCCATGCAAGCCATTCTGCCACGTGGGTCATATGACCCAGCTGATCCGATGGTGCTGGAGGTGTCAGTGGCAGACAGAGATGCAGTTTGGAGTCTGGGGCAGTCTCCTTTGTTGGGATCATAGTGAAGACCCATAGGATTGGGGTGAAAGCTTCACCACCCTCTGCAGACAACCCCCCCACCTTTGAAACACAGTTATGTGCCTGTTACTGGACCTTAATAGAGAGAGAATGTCTCATCCTGGGTCACCAAGATGCTATGCAGCCTGAGTTGCCCATTGTGAACTGGATATTGTTTGGCCCACAGAGTCACAGAGTTGGATGCACACAACAGCACTCCATCATTCAATGCAAGTGGTATATATGAAAGTAGGCTAGAGCAGGGCTTGAAGGAAGAAGCAAGCTGCAAGAAGAAGTGGCCTAAATGTCTATGGCCTCCACTCTTGTCCCAGTACTACCCTTCTCCAAGTCTGGACCTATGGTTTCATGGAGAAAACACTTGCTTGGCTTACTGGTGGTTCTATTTGACACCCAGGTACCACTCAAAAGTGGAAAGTAATAGAACTACAGCCCCTTTCTGGGACCCCCTTGAGGGATGGTGCAGAAGGGAAACCCAACAGACAGAGCTTTGAGCTATTTACCTGGTTGTTCAGTTTTCTTGGAAGGCGAAATGGCCAACTGTGTGACTGTACACTGATTCATGGACTGTAGTCAATGGCTTGGTTGGATTGTCAGGAACATGGAAGGAACATGATTGGAACATTGGTGACAAGATAGTGAGGAGAAGAGGTATGGGGATAGACCTCTCTGAATGGGCCAAAAAAGTGAAGATATTTGTGTCATGTGTGAATGCTCACCAAAAAGCTACCAATCTTTACCAAGACTTTAACAATCAAGTAGATAAGATGATATGTTCCATGGAAACAAGTCACCTTTTCCTCCAGCCACTCCCATCCTTGCCTAAGATGAACAAAGAGGCCATGACGGGAGGGATGGAGGCTATGCAAGGCCTCAGCAAAATGGGCTTCCATTCACTCAGGCTGACTTGGCAATTGTCACTGCTGAGTGCCCAATCCACCAGCAGGAAAGAGCAACACTGAATCAGACATGGGACCATTCCTCATGAGGATTAAACAGAACCCGGTGGCAGGTTGATTACATAGGACCACTTCCTTCATCGAAAAGGCAGCGCTTATTCTGGATACAGATTTGCATTGCCTGCCCGAACTACCATTCATGGACTTACAGAATGTCTCATCCATATCCCACACAGCACGAACAGACTCACTTCACAACAAATGAAGTGAGGCAATGGGTCCATACACATGGTATCCACGACTCGTACCATATTCTCCATCATTCTGAAGCAGCCGGATGGATGGAGCAATGGAATAGTCTTCTAAAGACACAATGACACAACTACCTTGGCAGCAACGCTTTGCAAGCTTAGGGTGGTGTTCTCTAGGAAGCTGTATATGCTCTAACCAGCATCCAATGTGGTGTGCTGTTTCTCCAATAACCAGGGTTCATGAGTTCAGGGATGAAGGGGTGGAAAGGACAGTGGCACTATTCACTATTACTTCTAATAACTCACTTGCCTTATTTATGCTTCCTCTTCCTACATCCGTCTACACTTCGGGTCGTGAGTTCTTAGTTCCAAAGGGTGTGTGTGTGTGTATACTTCTTCCTGGAAGCCTGGCTCTGATTCCATTGAACTGGCACTTAGGAATGCCTCCTGGTCAGTTTGGACTCCTCCTGCCTTTGAATCAATAGGCAAAGAAGGGTATGACTGTGTTGAGTAGTGTGTGGTGTGGCTGATGCTGATTACCAAGGGAAAATTGCATTAGTACTGCATCATGATGGTAAAGAAGAATATGGCTGGAATCCAGGACATTCCTTAGGTTGTCTCTCAGTACTACTCTGCCCTGTGGCTAAAGTCAATGGTGAAGAACAGCACCCCAATTCTGACATGACACCTAAATA